TCATGATCCAAGTTACCAACCAAAACTGTGTACTAGCTCTTCACCTGCAGCTACAGGGCAGCAGATTACTGTTTTTCTAAGTCAGTGCGATGTCTCAGCATCTTAAGCAGAGAAGACAGATAAGTTCAGAGTGCTGTCCATAGTGCTCACCTTCATTTTACGCACTTCTTGCCACTGTATTCACAGAAATGATGGACAGCGCCTGTCAATGTTTTGACTAGATGAGAGTATGAGCACTTATAATGATTTATGAGAGTGGTAAAAAAGTTCCCTATAGGTGAATTATTAAGTGAGTGGAGAAGAGCGTGGCTTTTATTTTTAAGTATCATTATGAAACAAAATACATAAACACAGAAGATATTGATGGTGTTGATATTCTTTACCTGCCATGATCATATTTACATGTGGATGCCATACCTGTGATATAGTGGTGTCATTAGCTTTATGTAGGCTACCTTGCGTCTCCTCTGTCCTTTCTTCGAAACATTTCAAGCCAAAGCACACACTGATCAAATGACTACATATTAGGAGTTGTTTATAATGAGGAACTTATAGATAATTATCACCCAACTGTGAAGTTTCCCTCACCTCTATGGAGGTGCTCTGCAGTTAGCGACAAGCTTGTGAACATAGTGGAAGATTTAGAAGCTGAATATTCAGACATTCCCCTCAGGAGTTGGAAGAGACCAAAAACAGAGCTAAAAGAACAGGACTGCTTTTGAAAGAGAGCTTTTAGAAAACCTACACCAGGTAGGTTTTGATTTACAGTTACACATCTGTGAACTGTGGTCAGTTTAAAAAATCACTAATGAGCTGGGGTTTTCAAATAATGCCATATATGTCAGAAGCTAAAATTTGGTTTAAGAGAGAGATGAAGAGAGCAGAGTTTGTGGTTTGGTTAGATCAGCGAGAGAACAGAATTTTACTGGAAAGCAAATAAGCCATCTTTAATAAGATAAATACTGCACCAACACATCTGTACTTTAGTATCTCACATTTCAAAGAAAGATCATTTGAGGTATTTCAATTTGTGCTTTTCAGCTCAGGTTGGAATTTAACGATGTAATCAATTTCCATTCATGACACCTGTAAAAGCTGCACATGTGTATTGTTTACAGTAGATTCCATATTTCAGAGCACGTCAGATACGTCCTTTCAGTTATTTCATCAGCCTTTACCCCTGGGACCATAACATCTGCTACTATGTTTTGTGTCATCCTCTTCTCCATCTTTGCCTGCACTAACACTTTCATCTCAGCTGTCATCTGCAGCTCGTGGTTTGACAATCTTTGTAAATATTTACTATTTCTTCTCCATGATGGATATGGAGACGCTGTTGTCACTATATTCAAAGGATGGATTGAAATATTCCAGTGGGTAGAGGAGAGAGCGAAAGGCCGCTTGAGAGCAGCAGAGATGCTGATCAACAAAGACCCTTGAGCAAGGCACTGAATATCAACTATACTTCCATGGAGCAGCTCAGACTGTGTTCCCACAGAGCAGCTCTTTCATCCCAGCACCAGTCCAAAAACCAAAACAAGGCAAGAAAAGTACAAAAACTCTAGGATCCAAGAAACAAAAAGAGAGAATAGTTGATCGACAAATGTGTCCTGGTAGTTTGCATCTACCACTGCCAAAAGAAAAGTTGAAAACTGGCCCTTATACTGTAGTTAAACAAGTCAGGTACCGAATTTGCAGTTGCCCTAATGACTGTGTGTTGGGTGAAAGAGTACAATGCAATGTGCAAAGGTTTTCCACTTACTATTATAAAAAATTACCTTAACTGACCTTGTTTGCAGTTCAAAATTTCAACAGTTTTGCTGACGTTTCTTTTATACAACAGAGTGTTAGAGCAAGACTAAGAGAAAAAAAATTTATTTTGGGGGGAAATTACCAGAATAAAGTCATAATATTAGGTCTACAAGAATAAATAATAAAGTCGTAGTATTGCGAGAATAAAATCATAATATTGCGAGAATGAAGTAGTATTTTTCTGAGAACTCTTAGAGCAGTTTTGTGATGTTATACTTTGGTATCGGTTTCACAAATAAGGAAATACTTAATCTTTTGGCACATCAGCATTAAATTATCAGTATCAGGACTTGAAACGATTGTGCAAACGACTGTCTATTTCGAAGAAAGAACCACACGGACTTGGAAAAAATTATTTTTATTACATTATTCTCGTATTATTACGACTTTATTCTCGTAACATTACGACTTTATTCTTGTAATATTACGACTTTGTTCTCGTATTATTACGACTTTATTCTCGTAATTTCCAAAATTGTGTGTGTGTGTGTGTGTGTGTGTGTGTAGTGGAAATGGGCTTCCGTATTCTTCTCTTTCTTAAACAACTGAAGAGACAGAAGGAGAGGGTGGACATGCTTTCCTGCACATCTGTATTGGATATAACACCCTTTAATCTACAGGGATTTGGACACAGTATTAAGGACATTTTCTTAATAATGTCACTATAATAGGCCCTGTAATGGGGTTTGGAGACATTGCTGCTGGTCCCCAATACCTGCTGTATGTCAGGGTCTGTTAGCACAGTTCATGATGTGTGGCACTGGCTTTGGAACATGTATGTGGTCAAACATCCATCATCACAATTACGTTTCAAATATTGATCGCTTCAGTGTGGGAGCAGGATAGGACCTTGAAAACACCTATTTGGGAAAAGAGTGATCTTGATGGAGAATGAAGATAGAAAATCATGGTTATGTTTCAAAGCTGCTTTTTTTCAGCACCAGAAACATTTGAACCTTTTTCATTTAGTTTTCTGCTGTATTTTTTCACAGAAGGTGGAATACATATCAAATTGAAGGACTATGCTCACATAGTTCCCATTTTCTTCACCATCCACTGCCCATGTTTTCCAACCTTGTGATGCACTGTATGGTGTACGCTCACTGGAGTGGAAAAGGAAAAAATCTATATTGCAAATACATTCTGCAAATGTGATACCCAAACAATGCACATATCCACATCAGTTCACTGTTTCACCTCTACTTCAACCCCATCTTTCACCAGCCATGAACTGCAACATCTTCTTACTACTGCGTCCCTACAGAAAAAAAAGATACTGTCACCAAGACAGCCTGTGGAAAACACTCAAAACTAAAACCGCAGTTCTGTGACTTGCTGTCCATAAATGGTACTGGATCTTCTTTGTGTTCAAGAAGATATCTTCCCCCTACTTAAAGTAAGTGAAATAGGCCCTTGCCAAAAGCATTTTAAATTTAATGTTAATGTTAATGTCCAAACCTGCTCATTCATCATCACTCAAAGCTGCAGCTAGCCAACAATGTGTAGTGCATTTATGCTGACTTTATGAGGCTAACTAAGGCCACGAGATTACCAGATTTATATGAATGACAAGAAGGCATGTCTAGGTTGCTGCAACATAGAAAAAATGTTTGGGCACAGATATGAGATTTGTCTTAATGCATTCATCATGCTGCTGGTCAACGTCATTTCATTCCATTTCAAACTCCTCTCCTCGGAATAATTTTAGAAAACTCTTAGAAAACTACAGGGAACAGCACACCTCAGAAAGCTCTTCAGCTGTAAATGAATGAAGCTCGTTTAAGCGTATAATTAAGCCATACCCTAAACTCCCAGCAGAAGGCTTTTCTCTTCTCGTTTGTGTTCATTTTGGTATCTGATTCTGATTTAGTTTTACATGATGTTTTAAGTGCAGTGATAGGTTGGGTCAGTTTATATGGAGTTTGTGTTTTGCTCTTTGGGGAGGTGCAGTCAGGTGTAATGGACTGATTTAGCTCACCTGGAGTTAATTAGGTGCTGTCTGGGACTCTCACTGACAGAAGGCA